GGCCACCCAGACACAGGGGTTGGAAATCCCAGATCAGAGACATACTGGAGCAGAGAAGGTGCAATGCTGAGCGAACGGCAAAGCCTGACTGTGTGTAATCTGGGTCCTCAGACACAGCACGAGAGTGGCAGGGCTCCAGGGGCGCTGGGGACATATAGCATCACCAGCAACAGAGACAAGAAAAGAAAAACAAAATCCTGGTTCTCAGAGCACATTAAACTACCATCTGCAATGTGGGCCTATCATGTCAGGGGGCATGCCCCAGGCCTGACTGCTCTGCTTTCCAATCCAGCTTCCTGCACATGCACCTGGCATGGCAGCAGATGATGCGAGTGTTTCAAGTCCCTGACAAGGATGAAATTTCTGGCTCCCGGCTTTGGTCTGGCCCAGCTCTAAGCTTGTTGCTCATCTAGGTAGTGGACCAGCAAATGAAAGCTATTTCTATTCTCTCCCTTTCTCTGTCTTTCAAATATATATACACATAAATACATACAGCTTTTTCTTTTACTCTTTTTTTTTAATTGTTGCCCATATGGGATCCTGGCACTTGCAAGGTGAACACATTGAAACATTGCACTGGGACCTTTTTAAAAGAATCCATTAAAAAGGACAGAAAGGAAAGGGCCAGAGGTTGAGACAGAAGTCAGCAGAGGGAAAAGTGTAACCAATATGCCATGCAAGGGGCTTCCAGGCAGCAGATAAATTTGATCTGTGCCTTGAAAGGTACATCGGGATCACAGGGCTCAGGGTGCGGTGGGAAGGACATAAAACATGGAAAATAGAAGGAAAAAATTTGAGGGAGGGGGCGCCAGCAAACGAGCCAGTCCTGAGTGCTCTAGGAAGCAGAGTGTGCACTGGACAGCGTCACGCCTGCGCTGGCCTCAGTGCAGGTGAGGAGGATGCGAGAGCAAGGAATCCTCAACTCGATGGGCAGCCACGGGAAGGCTACAAGGGAAAGCACCAGGGTCTGACTTGTATCTTTCACAGAATCACCTAGGAGACACGGGTGAGATGGAGTGGGAGGCAGGATCAGCTGGAAAACATTCTGACCCCCAAGAATTTGGAGACAAAAGCACCAACAAAGAAAAACCAGTAATTTTAAATTCTGAATATCAGAGCAGATTTTGTTTGCCTCCTTGATTAAAATCAACAAAGTTCTCCTCCTATTCTTAGCTCAAATGGGATGACAACTGTACTCACATAACTGCCTCATCAACATTTCAGTCTTTTCTTCACAAAATTCATTCTAAGCTTAAACTTCAAATGAATTCATGCGAAAAAACAAACTACTTAATTTATCATTCATTAGGGAAAGATAAAATTTGGTCAAAGAATGTGCTTACGTGCTAGCTTCCAGCTACAGTAGCCCAAAAGCAGGTAAGCTGGACAAAGATCTTAGAAGGAATGAGAGAAGAGGACAAACTCCAAGAATTATTCATCGAGTGCTCACAAGGCCTGACACTTGCTGTTATCACACTGGTAGCTTCCAGTCACTAGACCTAAAGGCCACCTACCAATAGACCTTTAGGAGTCCTACCAAATTTTAGTAGATATTTAAAATTATTAAATTAATAGCATGGCTACAATAGTCATACCAGAAAGAAAATGGCATGTTACTGCTTGGTGTGAGACCTTACCTCTCACGAACATTGTACCAATTTCCTTGTTTTCTAAAAACTGCATATTCTCCATTGCAGAGTCGATTTACTACCATTGGAAGGACTGGTGTCAAAGAGAATGGGAAGGATAGCGTGGCAGTTCAGTGTAAAACCCAGGAATGTCTAGGGACCGGAGGTATGGCATAGTAGGCTAAGCCTTCACCTGTGGTGCCAGCATTCCATATGGGAAGGAATGGAAGATGGCCCCAGTCCTTGGGTCTCTGTACCCATGTGGGAGACCAGGAAGAAGCTCCCAGCTTGAGATCAGCTCAGCTCAGTTGTTGCTACCATTTGGGTAGTATACCAGCAGACGGATGATATCTCTCCCACCTTCTCTTTCTCTGTAACTCTGCCTTTCATATTAAAAAAACAAAAACACCTATACAGCTCTGTAGGAAAATCTTTTCCCTAACACACCCTAGTCCTATGGGATGCTGCAGGCAGAATAACAGCATGTGCTGTGACATCTAGGGGTCTCCTGGGTGAAAACTCAGGTGTGAGTTTAGAGGAAGCAGGCTCTAAGTTGACCTGGAAGATGAGGAAACAGGTACTTCACCTCTTCCTCATGACCACTTCCTGTCTTTCAAGGAGTGATTCTGCTCCAGTCTCTACTCGGAATAAAAGGGAATGGATGCACGATCTAGGTAACACTGAAGCTCATCTTGACTATCTACAAGATACAGAGGAAGCAATGAAACAAAGCAACCAACACTTTAAGTGTTTTATGCTGCTCTCAGGCCTACAGAAAGCAGCCACCCTAGAGAGAGAGAGAGAGAGAGAGAGAGAGAGAAAATAAACCTAGGGTGGGGGAACCTTAGTGGCACGGTGGGATGTCCCAGATGCTCTTCCTGATCCAGCTCCCTTTTAATGTTCTGAGCAGCACAAGCTGGCCTACGTTCCTGGGACCATGCCTGGGCTCCTGGCTTCAGCTGGCTCAGCCCTGTGGCTTTTGTGGCCGTTTAGGGCATGAACAAGAGGACAGAAGATCTCTTTCCCTAATCCTCCACCATCTCCACCCATAACTCTGCCTTTCAAAAAAAGTAAAGTAAAATCTTGAAAATAAAGAAAGAAATAAAACCCAAAAATTTTAGTACAAAACTGATCCAAATGTGAGCCATAGTTTAACATGGAGAAATGATTTAACAACGCTAAACTCCCAATTTCTACAACTTTATGAAAATCACACCATCATTAGGAGGGGCAGTAAAATATTAAAAGTGCTCTGCATTGTGTCTGAAAAGATGTCACTCCGATGTTTGCTGTCATCACTTCGATTGGTCATTTGGGCCTTCAGGATACAAAAAGGAGAACACGAGGCGCATGGTAGGGAAAGCCATAGTGAACACTGGGGAGTGGCAGATGTGGGATTAACTGATAGACACGAACAGTGAAGGGGCAAGCATTGCAGCCCCTCCCAAGACACTGTTAAAATGTGATTCAGCATGGAAGTGCAGTGGCTATTATTTCTTTAAGTAGAACAATGACTTGAAACACACACCCTTTAAAAATGCGTGCATTTTGCTAAACCCTTGCCTTGCAAACATCAGGATTCCAGATGGGCACCAGTTCATGTCCTTTCCATCCAGCTCCCTGCTTTTGGCCTGGAAAGCAGTAGAGGATGACCCAAAGCCTTGGGACCCTGTACCCACTTGAGAGACCTGGATTAAGCTCAGCTACATTCATTATAGCCATTGGGGGAGTTCACCAGTGGAAGATGTTTCTCTCTGCTTTTCCTTTACTTTGTAAATCTGATCTGCCCTGCTAATAAAAATAAACATATCTTTGAAAAATTCCTATATTTACTTCCTCTTCTTTGTTCTACTGCATATTCATGGCATTAGTATCTTGTAGCAATAATACAGTCAAAAATCCCTATAAAAGCAGACCAAAGGCTTAAGGTAAGAGCTAAAATTGTAAAACTCTTAGAAGAAAACAGGGGAAAGTTTCATTATGCTGGATTTGGCAAGAATTTTTTGATATGACACCAAAAGCTCTGGCAACAAAAGCAAAAAGTGACAAATTAGACTACACCAAAGTTAAAAAGAAAACAGTGATATTTCTGCATACAGAGACACAATCAACAGAATAAAAAAGATAACTCACAGAATAGATAGAAAGGCTGAGACAACACGTATTTAATAAGGTGTCATCCAGAATTTATAAGGAACTATTACAACCCATGAGAAGAAAAGCCCAAAAAAACTCAGTTTAAAAACGGGGAGAAGACTTGAATAGACATTTTTCTACAGTTAATATACAAATCACCACTCAGTACCTATCATTAAGGAAAGCAAATCAAAATTATAATAGACTTTCACTTCATTTCTGCTAGGATCTGACTATTACACACAGCAAGTGACACCTGCTAGTAAGGAAATCTGAGCAACTGGAAGTCCTGTACATCACTAGTGAAAATGTTACATGCACAGGCAATATGGAGAACAGTATCACAATTTCTTGAAAGATTTAATGCAAATTACCACATGATGTAGTGGTCCATTTCTATACACACCACCAAAAGAACTGGAAGCAGGGATTCAAAGAGATATACACCCATGCTCATATTACCATATTCAGAATAGCCAGCAAGTTGAAGCAACCCAAAGCCCATCTATAGAGGAATGAAAACAAGATCTAGTACATACAGACAATGGAATATTAGTCAGCGCTAAAAAGGAAAGAAATTCAGACATCTACTTCAATAGGGATGAACTCTGAGAGCATTATGCTAAGTGAATTAAGACAGTCATAAAAGGTCAAATAATTTTATGACTGATTGTCATACATATATGATTCTATTCACCTAAGGAAGAAAAGGTGCAGCTAGTCACAGAACTAGAAAAGAGAACAGTGGTTACCCAGCCCTGAGGGGAGGGAGAATGAGGAATTGGTTTTTAATGGGTAGAGCTTCTATGTTGCAAAGGAAACAAGTTTTACGAATGGATGTTAGTAATGATTGTACAAGAAAGCAAATATACTTACTACCACAGCATTGTATACTCAAAAATGAAAAAAAATATATATTTTACCACAATTTTCAAAAACAAGAGGACTACTGGTTGTCTAATCATCTCAAAATAAAACCCCCCCAAAATTACATTTCAATTGTTCAACATTTCATTTGGTTCTATTATAGGTATCATTACAAAGAAATCCTAGGGAACTATTTTTTAAAAATCTAGACAATTGCATAAATGAAAAAGAAACCATGTCTTTTAACAGCATGTTAGCGTCACATCCACTTACTTAGGAATGTGATTTTCTTGCGTTGCCAAGACAGCAACAGTTGCTGTGGAAACCACACAAAAACAGGCATCCTCAACTGAAACAAACTCCACTCACCTGCACAAAGATGCCCTTGCTTCTATACTCCTCATGGAGGCACTGGGAGAAGAAGTCTACAAAAGCCTGGGAGGGGTGTGAACGAGAAGAAAACACACACATTACATCGATGTGCCTGATTCGTAGCCATGGAAACAAAAAGTAACAAACTAACCATTTAACACTATCATTTCTAATCATTCTTTTTCATTTCAGATGTACAAAAGATCTTAGAAAAACGCCAAGTTGTTTTTTGCTTGCCACTAAGAGAAGAATTTTCTTACCATATAATATCCAGATCAAATTTCAATTGAACTGGAAAAGGTTCTCCTTACCCTTATTTTTCCCCAGAAAATTATTTTCCAAGAAAAAAAAAATTTATATAACGAAGCATGCAATCTTTTTTGTTGTTGTTGTTTCTGCTTGCCACTCCAAAGGAGACACAACATGAATTCTGTTCCACTCAGTTCTATGGGGATCTTTGTTGCTGGTGAAAAGAACAGAACTGGCATCTTCCTGGAGCTCCAGGATGCTAAGATCCAAGAAGAGCAGAGCTGAGTGCGCCATCTCCTCTTCTGATCATGGTACAACCTGAAATCTATTTGTAACAGTTTTTTTTTTTTTTTAACGTGTACTGAATCCCAGGCCTGAAATGCAAAGTACCAAAAACGAATCTACAAGGATCCTAATTAGCAGCTTTCTGTTCACAGAGCACAGGTAGGAAGTTGGAGTCACCGATCCTTTCAAGAAACACAGTATTATGTTCTAGGGATACATAAAGCAAGGTGACGGCAGGGATCAAGGGTGGTAGTGCCAACTTTACCAAGACAGCAGTGATGGCTTGAGTTTTATCAGGTGAAAAAGAAGGCCAATCTTTTGCTCCTTTCCTTCTATAAGTCTTACGGTATGTCCTATTTCGTTATCTCTTCCTTAAAGTGTGCTTAATTTTAAGGTCTGCACAGTAATTTTTCCCTTCAGAGATGTATTTCTTGCCTCAACAATGTATCTGAAGATGAAGATGCTGGTCTGCAGCAGGAAGTGCATTCTAAATTATTTTCCTGGAAGTAATGTGAAGGGGTGAATGGTACTGCTGTGTGCAATTATGACTCTTAGAACTGAGGAAAATTCTCACATCCCAGAAGCAGTATCTACAAGTTCTGGATAATAGGACGAAACAGTCACATTTTCACCTAAGATATTTTGAGCCTGGTGTATACATACATATGTATGCTGACCGTGTACAATTCTTCCACCCTGTGTGAGCTGACTCATCCATCCATGTAACGCTGAATCTTCTATTCATTAACATCATGTTCTAATCAAATGGCTTAGCCAGCTCTCGATGAAAAGTGCAAGTAGCACCTTCCAAGTACGTAACCAACTGGAACACAGGCCTGTGTGGAGCTCCTACCGTGGCTTCCAGTTTGTTAAGCTTCCACCTGCTAGATAGTGCCTCAGCAATGGCTCTCCTGGAACACCTTGGATCATTTCCTTTGCATCTCAGTCCATGGGAAATTTGTCAGGATGTGTTGTTGAGGAACCTTCCATCTACTTCAACTTCTCAACCTAAAAATTATTCCTCTTACACTCATGCTTTCTGAAAACACTGTTCACCTTGGTCGCAGAGTAGATGGTCAGCAGCGGAACTGGGAGCATGCCGCTGGCAGAGGAGATGTTCAGAACGGCACCTTTAGATCTAAAAAGGAAAACGCACGGGGTCAACACAGGGAAGCCATATACAGCACTGTCTGGGAGTCGCAGAATGAGATACACGAACACAGTAGCAGAGGTCACATGGCTCCCTCTCTCATCAATGTGCAATGAGCTTGGCCAGTGTGCAGAGGGATAATTCAATCAACTAAAAATAGCTCTTCTTTACCACTGACTCCTTTCCCAGTCTTACTGAGCCAGGGCACGATCCCATCAGACCTGCACTCTCCTGGAGTTCTCTCTCCTCTCTGACCACGGCAAAAAGAATTCTCACTTTATTTTGGCATACTGTCACATGTTACCTTGCTGCAGAAAATAATCATTTTATAGTAAAAACAAAACAAAACAAAAGCACCCCTCCGCCTCAAGAAAACCATACACTCTGGATATCACAGACCACACAACACTCTGCACAGCACTGCGTACGGAACAAACTGGCATTGAATACTCTCTTCTGGCAATGAATGAATGCCCTCCTACCTTGCTTTGGTTACAGGTATCTGGGCATCAAACAAAACAATTGACTAAAACTGAGAACCTAGAGGTGATAAAATCATGCTCTTTGTACAAAAGACAAAGCTCGATTTCTAGAGATTCTTTAAACTGAAAAAAATGAGCAGCGATTTCTGTCTATAAATAAATGTGAAACTACTTTGAGGACACTGATGCTGTAGATATTCTAGTTGTTAGGAAACACAGGGAGGTCGGATAACATGTGGATTTAACATTTTCAGCAATGTCAGAATAATCACTGCCCCCTTCAAAGTCACCCTTACTTCAGACTTCTTCAGCCACTTCAAGTAGATTTCACCCAGCCCCATCCTCCACACCAGCTTTTTGTCTTTCAATCCAATTCCTCACCATTCTTTGAATTTATTCCCCCAAGGACTAACTTTTTTTTTTTTTAAAGATTTAAAAATTTTGATTACAAAGTCAGATATACAGAGAAGAGGAGAGACAGAGAGGAAGATCTTCCGTTGAATGATTCACTCCCCAAGTGGCTGCAACCGCTGGAGCTGAGCCGATCTGAAGACAGGAGCCTGGAGCTTCTTCCAGGTCTCCTACACAGGTGCAGGGTTCCAAGGCTTTGGGTCGTCCTCAACTGCTTTCCCAGGCCATAAGCAGGGAGCTGGATGGGAAGCGGGGTTGCTGGAATTAGAACCGGCATCCATATGGGATCCCGGTACATTCAAGGTGAGGACCTTAGCTGCTATTGTGCTGGGCAAGAGCGCTATTTTTTTTTTTTTTAACAATTAGAAATAGAACTACTTAGACCTTTTTATGCAAAAATAGTAGGGAGACAAGACTAAATGGTATTAAAGATACTTTAGATGCAGATCTGCAAAGAAATAATCCCTAGAGGTCGCCAGCTCCACCTGGCAGCCTCCACGCAAGATGTCCCTCCAACTATCACGGAGAAGCCAGAGTCCTCAGTTTTGAGTGTATCTCTGGACACAAGCTGGCTTTTGGTTTTGTTTTGTCTTAATAAAAGTCCTTATGAGTAATACACTTTCCTCAGCAGAGAAATCATTAATGCTTCGAGGATAGACACCAAAGTTCAAATTTTAAGATGCTATTAAGAGTACTGAAAGAAGTTGTAAATACACAGTCAATTACTTAACTGCATTTCTTTCTTCACTTGTGAATTTCTCTGAACAGAAGTGTCATTGGTGGCTTTAATATAAGAGTTTGTATCAAGGGTTAGAACTCAACTAAGATAAAAGCTGGTGAGTTTACAAGTGTTTACCTATTCATTTGGTCTATATGTATAAGAAACTCTAATAAAAATGGAATAAAACCCACTTTTGTTACAAGAACATTTTCACACAGCATTCATTTAGGATGTTTAGATTATTTTTTTAGGGGGATGGAAATGACAGTTGTACAACTCTATGAATTTCCTAAAAATCCTGGAATTACATTGTTTAAATGGTTGGGTTCAGGCTATGTGAAATACATCTCAATAAAATGACAGAGAGAAATAATTTACTATATATTATATTGTGTATGCTTTAGGCTGGTCAAACTCAAGAGGAAGCTAACAGCGACTACACCCACACAACCTACAACAGACTTTGAGAAATAACTCCTAATCCTGTCCAGGGAGCCCTCACCCTGTCCTCCTAGAGGTGGGGAGTAATTTAATACTTAGACATTTTTGGTTCCATGGCTGGGAAGTGTTATGTCTTCATTCATCAGCAGGTGAAGTGCCACCCACCTTATACAAGGGGACAATGACACTTCCTGCAGAAGCTGCAGCCCAGGCCCCACTGCTGGTCTCAGAGCGGGATTATTCTACTTGACTCAATTCAGCTACCCTGGGGGCACTTGAAGAAAAGTCTAATACTTTTCATCTCATTACTCACAGATGAAATGCAACTGAAAAGTCTTTTAAAAAGCTAATGTTAAAGTACGTTTTTCTTTTTTTTTTTTTGTAAAGATTTATTTATTTTTATTACAAAGTCAGATATACAGAGAGGAGAGACAGAGAGGAAGATCTTCCATCCAATGATTCACTCCCCAAGTGACCACAACGGCCGGTGCTATGCCAATCCAAAGCCAGGAGCCAGGAACTTCTTCCAGGTCTCCCCTGTGGGTGCAGGGTCCTAGGGCTTTGGGCTGTCCTCGACTGTTTTGCCAGGCCACAAGCAGGGAGCTGGATGGGAAGTGGAGCTGCTGGGATTAGAACCCGCGCCCATATGGGATCCCGGCATGTTCAAGGCGAGGACTTGAGCCGCTAGGTCATGGCGCCAGCCCCAAAAGTATGTTTTTCTTAAAACAATAATCTTCACCTCAACAAATAGACTCACCAAAGCACTGATTTCAAGTTTGGAAAAGTCACCCAAAGAGGAAAAAGCTTCTATCACATTCTCAAAAATCACATAGATCAGCAACCCAACATGTCACAATCGTACAGTCACGGTCATTTAGTTGTTTACTCCTTGAAGCAACTAAGATCTTTGTCTTAAAAATACTCTACCATGATTTAAAATTGCTAGGGGTTAGGGTGACTTTGAATTTGTGAAAAGCTGGAATTTTAAAGTATTGTCTGCAAAACACAGTTTCTGCACTCTAAAATACATTAAATCTAAGATCAACAAAGTACTGTATAAAGCAAGGATGCACTAGAACTAAGGAAATGAAAGGATAGCATTGATAATTGTGCCAAAGTGACAGTTAAAAAAAAAAAACACCAAGTCCCTCACAAATAAAACATCAAGTACACATATTTATCTAGCAAAAACCCTCTTCCCACACCCACACAACAGCATCCAATTCCCTCTCTTTCTCTTCAAGGGTAATATTCAACTGAATTTTGTCTGAATCATAAATCATACACTGGTATAGCCTGTTCTAATCCTTGCACTGCATATAGTATCTTATTCTTTCTGTAGAAAAAGGGATGAACATTTGGGATTGTGAAGCATAAAGGACCTGCCTTTATAATCAAGTACTTTGTCTAGCTCTAATCCTCCATCTAAGCAGAATTAATGACGTCAAGGCAGTTTCCATGGCAGAGCCAGACTCATGACAACTTTGCTATAGCAAGGCGAAGGACAAAATAGGCTGTGTTTAATTGCACACAGAAACAAACATAAAACCAAACCCTGCTTCATCTCTCATTTTCTGGGACTTGGGAACAATTCTAAGATGGCAAGGTACATTAAGAATTTTTGCTGAATTTCTTTAATGAAAACTCATGTTGCTCATAATTCAAGCACATTTCTTAGCTGGTTATGACAAATATCTAAGTAAACAAGGCAAGGAACATTTTCTATGATACAACCTTCTTAAGTCATCATCTCACTTGCTAACAGATACAAAATGGTGTCTCAGTGGTAACTGAGGATCTACTAGAAGTAAAATCTTACAAAAATGAGGCAGAAAAACGAAGTAGCCTTTTTTATAAAAACGTAATTGCTTCAATTACTAGTCCTCTCACAAGCCAAACATTAAACCTGTCCAGTCTTTTGAAAATTAAGTGCCTTCAGGTATAATTTCCTAGATCTGTACTTTTAGATTTTCCTACTAATAAAATTCCCATTAAAATTGTTACCTGAATTAAAAAAAAAAATCAGTCAAGTATTTATTCTATAAATGCCATACCGCTATGTATCATGCTGTTGTAATATCCTTGTTCTCACTCCTACCATCACTCAAAGAAATAAATGCATTTTAAGATTCTTCTTATTGATAAAGTAGATCTTTTACAGAAGTCGCCGATTCTGTCTTCCTCAGGAAATCTCATCAACATCCCACAGTGCAGGTGAGGAACGAAACAGGTGAGTAGTATAGCGCTGCTATGAGGAAAACAGCACTGCAGCGTCAAGCCCAGTGCAGACAGCCAACAGCACATGGGCTGGAGGGCCAGCCTAGGCATGGACAGGTAACCGCATACATACCACAGCGTCAGGTCCAGCACGGACCGACAGTGGATATAAACTGGAGCGTAGGCTCCAGTATGGACAGTTAACTGTACAGAGTTTGATGTGCAAAGGGAGACTGTGTAAAGACCATTGCCTCACAATTCTTTCCATTTGTTTCAAGGACACACACAGGCATGTTCTTTCAGGGTCATATATATAATAAAAACAACAAAATTATGTATGTATAAACACTCACACATGTGTTAAAGCTTAAAGACAATAGTAAACTTGGTACAGAGAGTTCTCTAACAGACCCATGACACATAATAAACACTGCACCATGTCCGAAGAGCACCCTTCAGGATATAATTAGAACCAGCAATTCAAATACTTATATATACACCAATGTTGCTTTGTTGAAGAGTTTGCAAACATTTTGCACATGAAAAAAAATTACCTGCCCTAGAATACCATAACATGTCATAATTCCACCTTAAGCAATACAGTATGAAAGAGGCTATTTTTAGCTTTTCCATGGTTGTTATGGCAACCACCTCCTGGCTTCAGCTGTACACAATGTTTATAATTCCAGGCAAGTGGAAAGAGCAAGTTTCTTCTATAATGTAATTGTACACTTTCTACTTTTCTGGTAATAATACCTTAGTTTGATTACAGATAACTATTTAGCAATAGTTGGCCCCAGGCTACAGTTCTAGAGGGTTTGGAAAAAATCTCACACATCAAAGGTAGATTCAGTGAAAGGAACAACAACAACAACAACAAAGGATCTTTAGAAAGGGCTCTGATACCAAGTTTATGGAAAACAAACATGGTAAAAATGCCACTGGGGGGGGGTGCAGCACAAACAGAGGGCTATAATGAAACCACTTCCAACGGTCTGACAGGCGACAGGTTGCCTTTCCTTGTGACCACACAGGTAACGTTTCTGCTTCCCTTGCCACTAACCGTAGCCTTACTGTTCTAGATGACATACCAGTGCAGCTCTGAAGTATACCACTTCCAGGGCTGGTGCCTGAAACCACCTAGAAAACCACCCCGACTCTCTCTTCCCTTATTTGCTGGATGGATGCACAGAACTCCAAGACTCTAGAGAATGATGGAATTCCTCAATGCAAGGACTTCTTACCACGCATGACTGCAAAGAGAGCTACGAGGTGAGACCAACTCTTTGGTAAAAGCCACTGACATCTGGGGGTAGTTTGTTTTAGCATTTGGCTGGCCTTGACTCCTTAATTCAATTGGACAGAGATGCTCCTTTCCTAACCATGGATACTGATTCATAAAGTCTACACCTAGTTCTCACTAATTCTCAGCAGCATCACAGTCACGCCCATGACGTCAGTGTCAGCCCATGGCTTCCACCAGATCATTTCTCAAGCTCCATTTAAATCAACCTGATTTCTGAAAGGCAAAGAAACAATTCATTTTTGCTATACTCTGTAATAAACAAGTTGAATTAATGCATGTTGAATGGATTAATTATTTTCTTGGCATTGTTTTTATCTAATGTGGCTGTGAACTGTGCTAAAGGATGCCAGGCCTAGACAGGTAACAGGACAGTTCCCATAGCGTCTCACATTTTTCCCTTCACAAATCCACTGCACAGAGCTTGCCACCTCTCCAATCCTGTTTTACGATCTGTCAAATGCGTAGCCCCGCCTCCCCACATACAAGAGAAATGTGAGGAAAAGGAAAATTAGAAGCATTTGTCCCACCCACATTACCTTGATCCTCCCCACCCTACTCAGTGGTCCTCAGGGGCCTGTATTTTTGTCAACTATGTAAATAACATCAGAAATAAAAAAAAATTTAAGAAAAGTGAGCAGGGCTGCTTTCATTTAATTTAGAGTTCTGATTCCTCTGACTTTTCAGAACCTGACGTTTTGCTTTTCAATATGGTTTTCATCCTCATGCTCAAAAATTCCTTTTTCAGGGACCAGTACTGTGGTGCCAACATCCCATACTAAAGTACCAGTCCAAGTCCTGGCTGATGTGCTTCTAATTCAACTTCCTGCTACTATCCTTGTGAAGGCAGCAGAAATTGGACCCTACTATCCAGGTGATGGGCATCAGTGGGCTTCTAGGTGCCTGGTTTTGACCTAGTCCAGACCTAGCTGTTACAGCCATTTGGAGAAGGAGTAAGCAGATGGAAGATCTGTCTGTCTCTCTTTCTGCTATTCTATCTTTCAAATAAACAAACAAATCATAAAAAAATCCCTTTTACAATACCACTATGGCATATAACTCAACGAACATGAGCTGTCATTACCATGTGGAGCTGGTAACAGAGGGTTCTTAACAGAAGTCTTCAGGCCTTCCATGGGCAACACTGTTAGTCCTCTGGGTCTCTTCCAGACCCAAGGCTATCTTGCAGAGGAAGGATGACATTAAGCCCCAGCCACACTCAGCAAATGCTGGAGCTAGCTCAGGATACAAGCCTAGCTCCTTCCAACAGTTTGTTCTGAGGCTCTAACCATCATTCTGGGTTTTCCAAGGGAGGAACAGAGCTTAGCTGCAATCTTAACACTTCTTACTATTTCAAAGGTTAAGAATTTCACAGCACATTTCTTCACAAAAAAAGGACACCTACGGTATCCTTGTGGTAGCCCATTCAAATCAGAATCCAGACAGGGCTGGCAGCCATCAGCTTTTCTTTCTCAAGGGTTGGGTTGCCATCTTATGATGATCCATCATGCCTAAGTTCTTCATCTAACCATGCTCCGAGAAAGAACAAGAAACTAAGAGTAGGACGTTCCTTCATGAAAATTCACTGATTTTGGCTCTGGGAGCATACAGCTTTAAGAAGGCATTCCCGGGAATATCCCAGGAACTCTGTCCGCCCCCTCAGAATAGCAGGCAATTGAGTTAGTGATGGTGACTCAGGCAAGCTTTTTAATCCTGATCTAAAGGAACCACCACAACCCTAGAGAGGGAAATAAAAAGGGAATCAAGTGGAAAAGGCCTCCACCACAGATGACTCATGCTCCACTGTGTGACTTGCCTGGCACATTACTCTGAGACATGGAAGCTGGGTTCATTAGTCACCTTAATGAACTTTTCAAAGGAAGGATTCTCTCTATAAATAATAACAATGAGCTCTGCATGTACTGTGTGTGTGCGTGCGCGTGCACTCATGACTCACCTCTCTACCATGCCAGGCAGCACCAATCGTGTCATCTGCAAGAAAGAAAACAAAAACAGTCACGACAGCTCAGGATGGCTAAGGATGCACACAACAGGTGAAGTGAAGGAAATCCGCCCACACAGCAAAGGGAATCACGCAGCTGCTCGCCACTCCCACAGACAGCGCTGTATGTTACGTCCTCTGCGTAACCTGGGTCAAGAGCACATAGCAAGGAATCACACGGACTTCCTGGTGATGACACTGGGAATTCTTCTGGTGACCCTGGCTAAAATTAGACTTGCCTGAAATGTAATACTGGGATGGAGATTTTCAAATAATAAAGGATTTACAATGAAATCTGTCTCCCAAAAAGCATTCACAGAAAACATTCCTGTATGTTTATCACAGGAAATATGCTATCTGTTAAGTTTTCTAAACTCTAACAGCTCAAATAAAATTTTCTGAGGGAAAACAAACAACCATTAGAAGAATTCCATAAAATGAAATATTGGCAAATATGACACGTAGATCCCCATTTATTTCATTTGCTGATCCAGTTGGCTGTGAAATAAAACTTCTGTGTAAAAAAAGGTGAAGTTGTCTGTGGTCTCCAGTAACATCAACAACAGGAGTCAATAGCAATTTTTCAGGATTTAATAACTGTTCATCAAATACATATGATGATACAGGCCCCCAAGGCTTTGGGCAGTCCTTGACTGCTTTCCCAGGCCACAAGCAGGGAGCTGGATGGGAAGTGGGGCCGCCAGGATTAGAAATGGCACCTATATGGGATCCTAGTGCATGTAAGGCAAGGACTTTAGCTGCTAGGCTATCATGTAGGGCCCCTATGACTATGTTCTATTCAATCACATGAGGAGTAATAGATTCAACCTCTTGATTTTGCTCTTAAAGGAGAAGGAAATTATGCCTTCTTCCCTTACTTTCCCTCTTCATAGTGGCTAGGAATTGGATGCGTAAGAAAGGGTTAAACCCATCATTGCAGACCACTAATATAAAACTTATGAAATAATGATGGCAGAGCAATGTAACAGAGTCAGGATCCCTACTGATTATAGGGCTACCCATCGCAAATCTTGGGCATCTTGATCTGAGGGATGAAATAAATTTCTATTTTGTTCAAGTCACTACTAGGTTTCTATTACAGGAGCTAAAACAATTACCAATAATTCCAATTAAATATGATTGAACATTACGTTGATAGACCATCCATTGTTAAGATTTTAAGGCTGAAAACTAATCCTCAAAGCAAGCTCAATCAGAAATCAAGCTGTCAGCCCAAATAATCTCAAAATTTCATAGTTTCAAAGACATGGTCCTTTTCTATGCTTGCTTGACTCAATTCCAAAAGTGCACATTAGGCAGATCCCAAACATAACTTTATAGTTAAAGCTGATTCCAGAATCTACCCTTTCAAAAATACTAATGCTTTTTCTCATCTTCTCAGATTAAAGAATGAGTCTGTTAGCTAGCCTACACATCTCAAGATTTACCTTTGCCAGACATAGCTACTGCTCAATACACAGCAAGTGTGGGATGCAGCTCGGCCAGTCTTCAGCCCAGTCCTTCAATCTACTAGTGGTGTGACTTTGAGTGGCTACCTTCAGAGTACTTTAGCTTTATATGAAGACAGCATCTACATCGTTATTATATTGGGTATTCAAGCAAGGTATAACATGCTGGTCTATAAAGGACCTACCACAGGGCATGTAACAGTGAAGCCTCTGCTGGGAAGCTAGAGTTACTAGCTGCCAGTCTAAGCTTTCCTCGGGAACAGCACCAAGTTATCTATGCCTTCTTAAAGCACAACATGCCCAGGGCAATTTATACCAAAACACATTTCAAGGTCATCTGATTCAACTCAATACACAGAAATCTGTATAGTTTCCATCAATATTTTAAAATACCTCGGGGGGGGGGGGAGGCGGAAATCTTCTTGGGGCAATGGATTTGTTCTGTAAGTTAGGTCTGTAATGATGATTGAACAATTCTATATAGTTACTAAACATTACTGAATTGTACACTTAAAATGGATGGATTTTACGGTATGTAAATTATTACTCAAGAAAACTGCTTTTGAAATGCTTCAAGAATCACACAGATAAAAAGGAAAGACCTACAATCAAAAAATATATTTGATGGTACTTTATCAGCTCCAGCAGACAGCGGAGCACTCAAAATGCTCTGCATATCAACACAGCCTGGAGTAACATGATGACAGAGTCACTCTAGTGAGCAGTTGAGGTCACATTCATTGCCAGAAGCTGGAGTAGGTGGTGAGAGCTCACCATCCAGCGCAAAGACAGATAGGCAAATCATTATAAGACCATGCTATGAGTAGACCGAGAGCATCAATACTATTAGAACGATCAGTTCTATCTGGGGAACCAGGCAGACCTTCTCAGGTTATGTGTAAGTTAGGTTCTGAAAGAATAGGAGTTCGCTAGTAGAGAAGAAATAGAATACAGAAAGGCAAACAACTGTGATAAATGACAAAGTATGCTATAGAAATGATGGATTTTAAAAAATGACTTATTGGGGACCAACATGTACAACATGCTAATCCTCCACCCTGTGGTGCCGGCATCCCATTTGTGTGCTGGTTTGTTTCCTGGTTCCTCCACTTTTGATCCCGTCTCTGTTTATGGCCTGGGAAAGCAGCAATGGATGGTCCAAGTTCTTGAGACTTTGCACCCATGCAGTATATCCAGAAGATGCTCCTGGCTCCTACCTTCAGGTCAGCTCAGCCCTGGCTATAGAGCCTAGTATGCCATACCACCAGACCCCATACAAAAATAAATTTTATGAAACAGCCTGGGATGGGTGTTTGGCGCAGCTGTTAAGATGCCTTTTGAGATACCCACATCCCATAGAAGCATACCTGGACTCAAAACACATCTCTGCTCCCAGTTCCAGCTTCCCAGCACACGCCTCGGAAGGCAGTAGTTAATGGCTGAAGAACTTGTGTCCCTGCTACCCACTGACATCTGTTTGAGTTCCTGGCTCCACGGCTTTTGAGGAGTGAATGAAAAGATGGGGCTGTCCCCCTCTCCAGGGACCCATTGCTCCCTTCCTCCCAAATAAAATAAATACTGAATGGAAAAATCTTAAAATATAAAAATGATTTAAAATAAAAAAATAACCTTAGCCAGTGTGTGTGTGTGTGTGTGTGTGTGTGTGTACACAACTATATTAACTGCAAGATAGCTGAGTGGATTCCAGCCTATTTAGCTGCTTGATACAAATGGAGAAGGTTCTGGGTACCGTAATAATGCCAACAAGTGGTCATGCAAAGTTTTAAAGTTCAACTCAGTTATTTTCAGACATAGTTTTCCAGCTGCATTGTCCAGGAACATGACTTTTAGGTGGAATACAGGGGAAATACAAATGCATTCTTCGAGAGCTATATTTCCTTTTGTGCCATGTGCACGTTGTTCATTAAATGTCTCTTTTCTGAATGGCAAAAATTATCAGGGGAGAGATCACTGTCCAAACGAAAACCTATAAAATATATCACATGTAGGAAACTGTATCAACAGCATGCTCAACATTAAATGCTTTCCTGCTGATGTTTTATGTATGGATCTGTTCAAAATACATTCTGTATATGATTCAACGCTCAGTGAGTTTCTGTAACTTCACAGAAGGCAGGAAACTCTATTTTCAATGCCTGACTACTACAGTCAGAACCACTTGTGGAGTGCTCCAAGTGATCCAACAGCAAAGATAAAAAAAACTCTTTCTTATAAACTCTTCCTTACACTTCATTGGCTTCCCCTTTTACATTCTGACTCTAAACGACCTGCTTTGCCATAAAATGGAACAACTTCTTTTTTAAACCCACTTGTCAAATAACATTGAAAAACCAGAGAAAAGTTAACTGAAAGCCTGCAAGCTTTTATGAAATCGATAAATGCTTCATGGATGCTGGAATTATCTTTCCTTCTAATCAGATTACAAGTAAAATTCAATTTCAAGCCTTCTTTGTTTGGACATGTGTCTAGAAATTGTTTTTAATATTCTATGCTTAAGTACAGAGGTTTCACTGTCTTCACATCAAATTAAATTGTCTTTAACATCAAGGTTAGAGTAAGATATTTTAACAAAACTATTAGTAGTCTCCTGTTACTTGTACGCATCGATTGGTATCTTGATATCTGGTTATTTAAACCTGTATGCCACTCATTTCTGTGAACTCTCACTCTCTGAAACTCCATTTCACAGCTCAGAAGTTGTTTCTAGAGTCAACTCAGTGCTCTAATTTTAGACCATCTGCAGGTGATAATTGCTATACTAAGAATTTTTGTTCCTCTCAACATGTATCTAAAATAAGGTTACCATAACTTGTAAGTTCAGTGACTAAAAATATTAGACAAGCAGTAATAAACATGAATTTATACTTGTTTTCTTCTATGATATTAATTTTTCCAAAACTGTACGGCAAGCACAATTTTAATTTAATTCTTCTCTTAGCAGATAAAAGTCGCTGAAACAGAATCCTACAACAAAAAGAGCTTCAAATATCTGCAGGAAAAACAAATGTTTCCTATTTATAAACATCTATGACCATTCCATTAACTCCTACCTCAAGAAGGAAAAAAAAATCTTAGCTGCTTAAAATCTAACAGAGATGGGTCAACATACCACATCACACTTGAGTATTAAAACACCATATATGCAAATTAGTCATTAAGCCCACAAATACACAAAGATAAATGAAACTCTTGATGACAGATAAATTGACAATCCCCTTGGGGAAACTACATAGTCTCTTCATATTTACGAATATTTTCTGGTACAGTTACCCATATTCTGGCTGAGAAATAAAAATGTTCAATGAGCTCATGCAGAACCAATACCTGCATTATTAGATGATTTAGTTGAGATACATAACGCAGAAAGGTACCGGCCCAGAAAGTCCTTGAGAATGTTTTATTCAAATGTGACCATCTGTGGTTGGGCTTATAAATGACTTATCTTCTTCTTAGTGTTTGCATGCGTTTCTCCATTTTTGGCGACAATCTTGCTTTGCTTT